TCCAAGTGTGGGTACCTGAAACTATTCAGGAGAAGCAGCCGCAAGCACCCTTCCTTAGAGGGCTAGATTACATGCCAGGGCAGTCTTTGTCTCTGAGGGTGCAAGCATATGACTGGAGATAAGTCTTTTCAGAAGGGCAGAGCAGCCTCAGGCCAAGTGAGTATTTGTGATGTGTGAAAGCCTGAACGAAAAAGGTGCTTCATTTACAAGGAGCAAGAGGGGACCATGACCACAATTGGTTTAGTTTCTGCCTTTCATGAAGATCTTGGGCCTCTTGGGGATAGAGAGAACAGTAATTCTGCCTGATTTAATGCTTTCTGTCTCTTAGCCTGGCCTTGGAGTAAGTCAAGTAAAACTGCACAACACAGTAAAACCCAGCGTGGACTACGTCTGCCAGCTCAAGTTCCCATCTGGCAATTACCCTCCCTGCATCAATGACACCAGAGACCTACTTGTGCACTGGTGCCACGGAGCACCAGGTGTTATCTACATGCTTCTCCAGGCCTACAAGGTACCGGAAATCTTGCAGAGACCCTTTAGGAATCCCTAAATGTCAAACTCCATCATGGAGAAAGCTCTGTTGAGACCCTGCCTGCCTGAGAGTAGGATTGCTGGTTAAAATGAAATCATCCCATGGGGACCACTGGCTGATAGAGAAATCAGTCTCTTAAAATTATATCTGAAAATGGCCATCAGCTGCATGGGGTGTCCTGTTGCAGCTGACTGGTGACAATAGTGTGCAAAGTAATGATCACACAGCCCCATTCATCATATCAAAACCATCCTCCTTTAAAGTAGAGAGCAAAGTCATAGCATTAAGACTTCAGAAGGAGAGCGACCAATTAACCCAAGCCTCCCCATCACACAGGGATGCTGTTTGTATAGAGGAGATTGCCTCAGTAAGGGGGAATATTTCTTGTCTCTACAGGTCTTTGGGGAACAGCAGTACCTAAATGATGCCCTGCAGTGTGCAGAAGTCATCTGGCAGTATGGGTTACTGAAGAAAGGCTATGGACTGTGCCATGGCACAGCTGGCAATGCTTACAGCTTCCTGGCACTCTATAACCTCACTCAGAACATGAAATACCTTTACAGGGCCTGCAAGGTAAGAACCTGTGTGAGAAAGGGAGAGGGGATCATTCTCTTCTACCTTTTACATCACTGCCATTGCCTTTGAAATCCGATTTTTAGTGTGGCAGAGATGCAGCTCAGATCTGAGCAGCTCCACCAGAGTAGTCCTTCAGCAGCACAGTCACTGTCTGACAGCCTGTAGAGCAGGAACATCCTGCAGAAGCCTTGCTCTGGAAGGAATAATGTGAGGATGAAGGTGGTATTGTAAGATCTGTCGTTAACAAAACCTGAACACCTTTTGTTCCTCTTTCCTCAGTTTGCAGAGTGGTGTTTAAGCTATGGCCAGCATGGGTGCCGGACTCCAGACACTCCATTCTCTCTCTTTGAAGGTAACCTTCATCTCTAGGCTTGTGTTTTGCTCCTGGGTCTGAGCCAGTACAGCACCAAAGAAACCCAAATACATGCTCCACTGAAGTGTTTGCAAAAGTCAGTATAGAAGATGGGGAGGAAATTGTATTCCCTGTTCTTACCCTTTTCCCAGAAGCAGTCTGCTTTCAGCACAGGCTGTCTTAGCTGGAGCATCTTGTCCTCTCTGGCCTCTCGTACAAATCCTGCACACAGGTGTCAAGGGGAATTCCAATAATGGGTACAGGCCAAAGCCTGCCTTATGGTAATCTGTATCCTGGTTTCTTGGACAGCCTCTTTTCCATGCATTTTTAAGGATTAAAATCCTTCATGAGCTTTCCAGTGCCATTCCAAAGGCGAGTGAGTAACAAATGGGGCTGCTTTTGTAAGACTTATTGGTTCCTATTGGCACCTTATGGCTCCTGCTAACAGTTCCCCCCAAAATCCACCATCAGCTGGTATTGCTGAAAGAGCAGGTTCCTCAGCTAACAGGGATCTCCCTGCCTTTGCCACAGGCCAAGGAACAAGGGCAGTTACCTCAGCAGGGACCTGAAGCAGCAATGTCACAGGGTCCAAAGTTTTGCGTAGACAGTCGTATTGTTAAACCTGTGGATAAGTAAAGCAGGAGGGGGGGAACTGGGGGGGGGAAGATCCATCAGGTGCTTTCCAACATCTGATGAACTTCAAGATGCTTCCCCACTGGCATACCTAAATTGTTTGTGAAACTTCAGACCTGAGAAGTGATTTAGGACCATCTGAAAACATCTTTCTTTCTTCTGTCTTTATGACCCATTCAGCCCCTGATAGAAAGGGTGCCCATGGGGAATCTCTCTGAAGCACATTGTGTTTTCTGACCCTCAGGAATGGCTGGAACGATTTATTTCCTTGCTGACCTGCTGGTGCCAACCAAGGCCAAGTTCCCTGCATTTGAACTCTAAATCTGAGCTTGGCAGTTTCATGCCTGAATCCGTCTGCACTTGGAAATGCAGTTTGGATCCGCTTTCTCCTTCCGAAGTCATTGTTGTTCACCTAACTGAAGGGAAACCCATCCTCCTGAGGGCATGCTGAGTTCTCTAATACTTCTAGTCATCTCATTGCATTGTTTCCATTTAAAAGACAGAATGCAGGTTTGGCTGGTGTCTTAAAAACACAGGGCTGCAGGTGGGAGCAGGGAGAAGATACACAGTATTCTGTTGGCTAGAGTGTTCTGCTGGTTTTTGTATCCCATATCCTGTATCCTGTTTCCTGGGTGAAAGTTTTCTATTGAATGCATCTTTCGCTGTTTATTATTTTGTGCTGACAAATACTAGCAGGGATTTGGTTGCCTTTGGAAAACAAAAGATGAAAAACTGGGACTATTGGCCTGCAAGTTGCTTGTAAGAGTTTCCTGCCTGAACACCCAGGGAACAGGCAGTTCAGTATCTGGGCTGCTCCACATAAAGCAAATGTGATGGGCTGTGGAGAGTTTGTATATGTTTTTTAAACATCAAATTGCAAGTGGTACAGCTGGGTCTGTCCTGAATTTCCACTTACCTGCTTTAAAGACAAAGGCTATGTATAACTTCTGTGCACTTCTTCCCAGTGACAGACAAATAATCCACTGGCTTTTGTGCCTATTTGCCATGTTATGCTAAACCTTGCAAAAGGCCATTGATCATCTAATGGTAAACTCCAAAAGTGAGCTAAGCATGCTTGCTGGTGTGATCTCTTCTGCTTAGCTTTGAAGGTTTCTTATGAAGTCTTTTGTTACAATTGTATATGAATATGATGGGTGAGAGGTGGTTCCAGGCCCACCAGCAGCAGCATGGGAAAAGCAATGTATTCCACTGAGTTCTGCCAGCTTTAACCTATTCCCTGTATGGGTGTTGTTTACATGCTTTTATAAGCTTTTCTGAACCTGGATAATTTGAATCACTTGTTTGCCTTGTTACTGCTTCTTGTAGTTTGATATGGAACCACACATCTACCCACCTGGAATATCTGCTCTAGATTAAATAGGTTTGACCCATTGAGCAGATCAGATACTTGCAAGGGACTTGATCCTGTAAAGGACATTCTTAGCACTGAGCATAAGCTAAGCACTGAACACAGTGAAAAAGCTACTGATGCAGCCATAGTGCTTGATGCTGTTTGAGAGCAGCTCCTCAGCCTGCACAAGCAGCCTCCAAGCCAGCACTCCTGCACCAGTGACAGTGAAGCAGAAGGACCAAACCTGGCACACTAACACAGCTAGCTCCCATGTGCTTGAATGCAAGGCAGCCTAGCCACAGCATAGGCAGACCCTCAAGAACCTCCTGGATGGGCTGCTCCAGCAAAGAGTAGAAACCATTCCTGGAAGGCTACTTGTTTCCTCAAAACCCAGCCTCCTGCTGCCATCACATGTTTCTCAAAGTTCATCCAAAGACAGCCTGAAATGCAGAGAAGCTCTATCTGCTTTGGGCTGGGCATCCCTGTTGGAAGCCTCAAGCTCGTGCAAACCTTTCCCTGTCATTGACAGAGCCTAAACAACACAGGGAGGTGACTGGAAAGGAGGAAGCACAGCCCTGAGGGCAGGATTTGGCTAATCAGACAGTTTGGGGGTAGGATCCTGCAGGACATGAGGCCTGCTGTCAGTTACCTTCCGGCTTGGCTGGTGTGATGGCAGTGCAGGACACTGCTCTGAGCCTGGGTTTCTTCTGGGCACTGCTGCTGCAAAGGAAATAGTTCCTGCAGCCTGGTGCCATGGCAGCATCAAGTCCCAGGGTTGGTACACTGATGGTCAGGGGATCATCAGGGTACATGCGATTGGTGTACAAGTGTTTTGTGGAGCACTGTTTAATAAAAACACCAAAACTACTGAACTTTGTGTTATTTTTACCGCCAACTTTATGACGAGGATTCATGTCCAAAGAGATCAAGAGATGCCACAATAGCTGCTCTGGGGGCTCACTGGCCTCCCACCCACCCTGAGTGTGAAGAGTATTTCACATCTTTCCCTGTGTCCCAGCACATGCAGTTGATTCGTTGCAAGAGATTTTATGTTTAAATAAGTTTTTTCTTACAGGGAAGAACAACTCAGGTTCCTCATGTTCCTGCCCAGAATGCCTGAGCCCCTTTGCCACAGTGTCCCCTGCATCAAAAAAGCCTGAATGGAAAACCTATACCCAGACCAGGAAATCTAAACTCCAAGAGTTACAACATTGTGAAGTGACTGAAGACAAAACCCAGTAGAGGAGGAGGCAGCAGATCTGCCCAAAATAAGCATCTGAGGAAGGATGCATTTACAGAATCAATCAGGTTGGAAAAGCACTTTAAGCTCATCCAGTCCAACTGTTCCCCAGTACTGCCAAAGCCACCACTAACCCATGGCACTGAGGGGCTCATCCACATGGTTTGTCAACATGCTGGGACACAGCTGGGCTGGCCCCTAGCAGGAACACCGGGTCCTGGTGGCCTCTGGAAAGGGCTGGGTGGACCCAGCAGGTGGCAATGCAGCTCAGCAGCAGGAGCCACCCAGCCATTGCCAAGCACCCCTGGCAGCTAAATCCCACCTGAGAGTTGTGTTTCAGCTCTTGGGTAGCCCTGGGAATGTCATTCAAACCAGACGGCACACACAGGTGAGGCTGTACTGGAATACTGTGTGGGATGACAGAGATGGGAGAAACGTGGACGCCTCGCAAAAGTGCATAGCCTCTTAAGTGAGTCTTATGTCCTTAGAGCAGGTTCCCACCATCACAGTACAACCCAATGGCACAACTGACCTTTGAAAGCAGAGGATGAAGGTCTCTGTGTCAGGCGCAAGGCACAGCTGCTCTGAGAGCCAAAGAGGACCATCACATCTTGGCATCCCACAGGATTTTTGCTGTTTCAGAATCAAAACCACTCCCTCAAAAGCTGTTGGGGAAAAGCAGAACAAAAGCTCTCATTACAGCTGCAGCTTTGAGACAAAGCTTGCTATTGCCTCACCCACAAAGCTTTGTGTTCCCAAGTGTTGGTTTCACTCCCAGCATAGTGGTCCCTACTGTTTCCTCCTGCAGCAGATCTGCCTGAACACACTTCTGGTTTTACCTCTCTCCTCAACCCCTTCACCCACTCGTTTCTGTCTCCATGCTGCCCTTTTTGGGGCAAAGGGTGGTGGATTTTACACAGCACAAATCCAGTGTACAGCACAACAGCAAGTGGAAGGCAAAATGCCATGCGGGAGGAAGGCAGAACCAGTTTAGCACAAGGAAACCTGTGCCCTCCCTGCATATCTCACAGAGAGCAAGCATCTGAACACAGCCCAGGACCACCCGAGGGCAGTACTTGGGCCATCTAGGTGCTAAGAGTTGCCAGCAGAAAGGGGAGAAGAGGATTAAGTTATTTTTCACAATGCCCTCAACTCCAGAGGCACAAGAGGCATCTCGTTCTGCCCTTCTCTGTGCTGGATGGGACACCTTCATGCTCAGACACTGAGCATTCCCTCTGCTTCTCCCGGAGGGTGAAAGATGGCAAATCTGGCCAGAAAGTACAACAGATCCTGTAATGGATAGCCACCCTTGAAGCCTGTGGATGGCAGTACACTGCTCTGCTTCCTTCCAGCCAGTGATGGAGAAGGCACAGAGGCAGCACCAAAACCAACTTGAAAGCCTTAGGAAGGGAATGTGGGGAGCCATTTAGCTCCATCTCCTCATAGCTGGGGCATTTCTTGCTGGCAGGACACGTGTCAGGCAGCCCTTGTGAAAAGCTCATTCTGCAGCCAGTTTGCTGCAGCGTTTGCAGTGATCTCGGGCAGTAACTGAATCCACCGGTAGTACTTCACCATCCCTAAATCCCATTGGAGCCGGGCCCAAAAATAGTTACTGTGGAGCATGCAGCTGCATGCAGGGTGGGAGCAAATGTTCCACATAACGGCTGTTGGCTCTGATCAGCTTGAGGAGTCAATCATATTTCCACCATTTGGCTGAGTTCTATTATAATTATTCCTCCTTAAGGATAGTCCTCACTAGTGCAGGGGAGACCCCAGTAGTGCCAAACAGCTTCCTTGCAGGGGATACCCAATGTACCCCTTAAGGTGCAGAGGTACTCCCTATTCTCAGAAGCTTTTTGGAGCTGTTTTGTAGCACTTTGCTCTGTCACTGAGGTGCTCCTCTTCCATGCTGATGCTCCCAGTAGTGAACAGGAAGGGATCAATCTGATCATTACAAGTGGCTGGGAAAATTAAGAGAGAGAAACCTCAGAAGACAAAGTCTAAGAGACTGCAAGAAGGTCAGCATGAAACATAAGCTTTGGATGAGAGCACCTCTTATATCCAGGGATACCCTTATCAGGAATTCATAGTTCATTTATCCCTGTGGGAAAGAGGACAAACCCCATCTGGGTGCAGCTTCAGTGGGTTGCAGTTAGGTGAAAGCCACACCAAGGTACAGCCCAGCAGCTCCAGAACAGGGCTCACCACCCACCAGACTGCAGTGCTGAGTGTTTAAAAGCCTGACAAATTCACGTGCAGGAAGCTGGGCTCTGGACCAGAAGTGGGAAGTTGCCAGTGGAAGCATTTGGGAAGCCCTGGTGATTCATCACCACAGAGGATGGATAAATTCCAGGGTGTTTATACCACCCAAAGCTGGGAAATACCCTGTTCCAGCAGGGCTGAGCCCATGCTTTACAAGCACGCAGAGAAGACAGAGCCTGATGTAGGGATCCCAAATGAGTACAGATGTGTCAGCACACAGACCCTTTTAAAACAGGACAATTGCCTTTCCCCTCTCTTTTATTATCTTCACAATACCAATAGCTCCAGTTCCCTGGTTTTCATCAGCAATAATCTCATCCCTTCACTCCAGTAACCATTTAGCCTTGCACTGCATAGTCTATGAATGCCAGTGTTGAATTACTGCCTTGTAAAACCAACGAGCAATGATATTAGCACCATACCCCTGATTTGTGACAGGCGATATCAGCAAGGGTAAAATAAGACATTCTCTTCCCCTGCTTTTCTCACTTGAAGATTTAAATATATGCTTTATAATAAGAGGGCCTGACCTGGGACTCTTCCCAGCAGCAGTTCTCACAAAGCCTATAGAAAGGTGATCACCTTCCTACACTTCTGTCCTTTCTAAATTGGCTGAAATAGTCCAAAAGACAGAAACATCACTGGGAGAATACAGAAATATGGACAAGCAAGGCAAGTCCTTAAGCCTCACCTTCTTAGGAAACCAGGCCAAGAACAGTGAATCATATTACTCTGAGCATGGAAGTTGCAGCCAAACTATTGGCTTAGCAAATGGATTAGATGTACCTGAACAGAACTCTTCAGTGATCCATGTGCAGCTTGGATCTCCCTTAGATAAAATGAGGGATAAATTCCCCGGTGAATGGCACCATTTGGGAGCATTAGTAGCCTAAACACATTTCCTACTGTAAAAGGTTTATGCTGTGCCCATGCAGGCCAAGCTGAGCCCTTTAATGATTTCAGATGATGGAAGTTTCACATCCCATCCTGCCACCACTTCTGATCCAAATGAGATGCAGCATCCACATGGAAAAATCAGGTTTGCTCCAGCAGCTGTCTTCTCTGTATGATCAGTTCAGGATGGTGCCTTCAGACCACTTCCAAAGGCAGCTCTGGGAGCTCTACTAGGAACTGGGAGAAAGCCTCAACGCATGTGGGACCATAGGGTTGGGCTCCAGCCTAAAAAGTTTCTATGTGATGCCCTAACGATGCTCTAATCACCATAATTTCACCAAAAGAACAAAAACTTGGAGGAGAGGGGCTGGAGGTGATGTCTGAAAGCTGCTCAGGTGAGGCAGCTCGTTCTAGTGAATGTGATCCTGCCCCTTTACTCCGCTCTTGTGAGACCCCACTTGCAGCGCTGTGTGCAGCTCTGGTGTCCTCAATGTCAGAAACACATGTAGCTGTTGGAGCAAGTCCAGAGGAGGCCATGAGGATGAGCAGGGGACTGGAACACCTCCTGTATGGAGACAGGCTGAGAAAGTTGGGGCTGTTCAGCCTGGAGAAGAGAAGCTGTGTGGAGACCTCAGAGCAGCCTTCCAGTGTCTGAAGGGGGCCACAAGGATGCTGGAGAGGGACTCTTCATCAGGGACTGCAGTGATAGGACAAAGGGTGATGGGTTCAAGCTGAAACAGGGGAAGTTCAGGTTGGAGATAAGGAGGAAGTTCTTCCCTGTGAAGGTGGTGAGGCACTGGCACAGGGTGCCCAGAGAAGTGGTGAGTGCTCCATCCCTGGCAATGTTCAAGGCCAGGTTGGACAGGGCTTGGAGCAACCTGCTCTAGTGTGAGGTGTCCTTACCGTGGCAGGGGGGCTGGAGCTGGATGATCTTAAGGTCCTTTCCAACCCTAACTATTCTATGATTCCATGCGCTTTGCCTTCAACTGGGACTCAGCAGCCAAATCGACTTCCTCTGTCTGCAACTGCCAAGCTGAGCTCCTCCAACAAGTGATTCAGATGCTCTCTGCTTTGGTTTTCTCCCATTTCTATTGCTTGTTTCCCAGCGGTTCTGAGGGAGGGTTTCTCATTATTTCCTGGTGTCTGCACATCACAGAGACCCCAGCTAGAGCTTGAACTCTGAAAACATTTGCATTTGCTATATTGAAAATAGTAACAATTTTACGGCACCTTCAAAATGCTCACAAGCTGCCAAGGAAGAAATCGGTACCCAAAACCCCAAGTGTACAAATACAGACCTGAAAGCAATGCGAAATTAATGCTCTGTCTCCAACATTATGCCTTCCAAGTCTTGTGAGAGAATACCTTGGGGGAAAAAAGTGCTTCATTTCCCTGGCAAAGAAACATCTGAATCATTTCTCCTATGATTAACCCTTTACCATCATGCCCTGCAGCTGGGACTGGATTCACAGCCATCAGGAGGGCAGCAGCATCCCACATCTCACAGATAGCTGCCAGCCCTGTTGCTTTGGAAACTTCCCTTCTCCCTGCCTCTGGCCAGGCCTGCCAGCTCAGCTAGAAGGGGGGGAAAGGTGGGCAGAACACCCCCTGCTCCCAGCCAGCATTGCCCAGTCCTGGGAGCTTGCAGGAGATGTGCTCAGTGAAGGTAGGTGCCAGGAAACTAGACTGAGGTGGAGTATTCTCTGTTAGGATATGGATCACAGCCTTGCCCTTTGCCTACATGCAAGCCTACCCCATAGGAGCTCTGAAGAGCACACAGCAAGGAAACTATCATCAGGTCTTTAAAAACACCATGAGGGGCTTTACTTAACCACTGCAAAGGTCACTTGCCTGCATGGAAAACTGAGTTATAATGAAGCGTACCACGTTTGCCAGCCAGAACTGTCAGAGAGCTGATAGAAACAGCAAGGCTCTCTTGGCCATCCATTCTACAGCATCCCAAGAGCCCCGCTAGCTGTTGGGCACATCATCTTCAGTTCCAGCTAAACCACTGGACATAACCTTTAGATGTGACACAGAGCTGGGAGCCTGCATGAACACAAATTTAGGAATGGATGAAAAGACAACACAGAGGGAAAAGAATCCGACTGGCATTTTGCAATGGCCATGGAAGGTGAAAAGTGGCATCCTTTAGGACCAGACAGAAGGTGGTAAGAAATGCATTAAAAAGAAATAGAAGGGGGCATACTAAGAGTCTCTTCTGACCCTAAAACAGGGAGCTAGAAACCACACTGAACTGTGATCTTAAAATGTACTGGAAATGAAATGCCCTGTATCTCTGCTTTCCAGAGGGACAGAGCACTTTCTGTTTTAATCATGAAAGCGCTGGGATGGGAATTGAGGCCCCATGGTGCGGCCACTGCACAGACTTGCTCTGGGCCCAGAGCTCAGAAAGGAAAGGTGTACCTGGTCCCATCAATTCAGCACCCAAGCATTCACAGGCGACACCTTTGTGCTGGGTACCTGAATCCTGTTTGTACATATTTTC